GAATCCAACTTACAAGGGATGTGAAGGACCTCTTCAAGGAGAACGACATACCACTGCTCAACGAAATAAAAGAAGACACAAACAAATGGGAGGCTGAGATTTTCTTTTTTTTTTTTTTTTTTTTTTTTTTTGAGACGGATCTGCTCTGTGCCAGGCTGGAGTGCAGTGGCCTCCGCCCCAACCCCCCCCCCCCCCCCCCCCCCCCCCCCCCCCCCCCCCCCCCCCCCCCCCCCCCCCCCCCCCCAGCTGACCCCCCCCCATACCGCTAGGCAGGGGGTGCTGTGTGACCAGGCCTCAGCAAAAGCCCTAGACACTGAGTCCCTCGTGGGCTTCCCCAGTGGACAGCGTTTCACACGTTGTTGCACTGCATCATGGAGGAGTTGAGCAGAGTGCCCTGTGTGTATCCCGTGGGAGAGGGCTTCGGCAACTTGTGCCTGCCCCCTTTGTTGATTGCTTTGTCTCTTTTGCTGTAATAAATCACAAACACAAGTGTGCCCATGCTGAGTTCTGTGAGTTCTAGCGAATCACTGAACTTGAGGGTCTCGGGGGCCCGGGTCACAGCACTTCCAGCCTGTTTCATGGGCACTGTCATCACATGTGTAGTCCACTTCCTTTATGTTGATCTTCATGTTTGTTTCACTCCACCTTCCATGTCACATGTTTTCCTTCACTGTTAATCCCCTGGCCCATTGCTCATGGCTGAGAGAGCACAGACCTAAAAGGTGAGCTTTGGGTACACGGTGGGCTTCTCAGCTTTGAGCTTCACCATCGGGTGATCTGAGTGGGGCATTGGTGGGAACCCCTGGGTCAGTATCTACAGGGCTTTCCTAGTTCCCTGCCTGGGGGGTCAAGGTCTAGCCTGCTGCATTCTGAATGCCCACAGACAGAAAGGAGCTGGGAATTTGCACTAAGCAGTGAGACTTTCATCACCTAATCTCCCTGTTTAGGAATGGCTCAGATGCCCTCAGCTATCCCCTATTCCAGAGACCCTCTGTTATTTTATTATTTTAAAACAATTTTTTTCTGCAGTAAAATTGATGTTTATCTTTTGGTGTACAGGTCTATAAATTTAAAATTATGTATAGATCAGGCCAGGTGTGGTGACTCACACCTGTAATCCCAGCATTTTGGGAGGCTGAGGAGGGTGGATCATTTCAGGTCAGGAGTTTGAGACCAGCCTGGCCAACATGACGAAAACCACGTCTCTACTAAAAATACAAAAATTAGCTGGACGTGGTGGCATGTGCCTGTGATCTCAGCTCCTCAGGAGGCTGAAGCAGGAGAATTGCTTGAGCCTGGGAGGTAGAGGTTGCAGTGAGCCAAGATCATGCCATTGCACTCCAGCCTGAGTCATGAGAGAGAAACTCTGTCTCAGAAAAATAAAAATAAAATCATGTATAGATCAGTATTATCACCACCACAGTTAGGATACAGTTCTGTCACCCCAGACCCCTCCTTTGTACTCGCCCTTCATAATCCCTTTTGCTCCATACGCATAGCCTCTGACAGCCACTGATGTGTTCTTTATGGCTATAGTTTTAACTCTGGAAGAACATCATGTAAATGGGGCTGTGTGTTTTGCAGCATCATGCAGCTGTAACCTTTGATTCAGCAGGTAACAATGTGCATGGCCTCTCCACTCACAGTAATGCCTTTCAGATTTAGCCAAGTGGTTGCATCTATCGGTAGGTCTTTCCTTTTCATTGCTGAGTAGCATTCCATCACAAGGGTGTACCACAGTTTGTGCACCCATCAAAGGACATTTAGGTTGCTTCTAGTTTTTGGTAATAGAGCTGCTTAAAAATAGTGTACACGTGTTTTTATAGGAATATAAGTTTTCAGTTATTTAGGGTAAATGCCAACAAATGAAATTGTTCAGCTATATGTTAAGTATATGCCTGACTATAAAAAACTGCCCACTGTTTTCCAGTGTGGCTAGATCACTCTGCATTCTCACCAGCAGTGAACAAGGGTTCTAGTTGTTCCCTACCCTCTCCAGAGTGTGGTATTGTCAGTATTTTAATTTTAGCCATTCTAAGAAGTTTGTATTGTTATCACATCATGGTTTTAATTTGTAGTTCCCTGATGGATAATGATGTTGAGCATCTTTTGATGTGTTTATTTGCCATTTTACATCCCATTTGGTGAAATTTCTGCTTGAGTTTTTGCTCATTTTTCAATTGGGTTGTTTACTGTCTTACTGCTGAGTTTTGGGAGTTTTAAAAAATATATATTCTAGGCTGGGCACGGTGGCTCACACCTGTAATCCCAGCACTTTGGGAGGCTGAGGCAGGCAGATCTCTTGAGGTCAGGAGTTCAAGACCAGCCTGGCCAACATGGTGAAACCCCATCTCTACTAAAAACACAAAAATTAGCCAGGCGTGGTGGCACACGCCTGTGATCCCAGCTACTCAGGAGGCTGAGGCAGGAGAATTGCTTGAACCCGGGAGGTGGGGTTGCAGTGAGCTGAGGTTGAGCCACTGTACTCTAGCCTAGGCAATGGAGCGATATCCTGTCTCAGGTAAAAAAAAAAAAAAAAGAAAATTCCAGGATGGGCACAGTGGCTCACACCTGTTATCCTAGCAATTTGGGAGGCTAAGGCAGGATGATCACTCGAGCTCAGGAGTTCAAGACCAGCTTGGGCAACATGGTAAAACCCTGTCTCTACAAAAAAAAAAAAAAAAAATAGTGGGGCATAGTAGCACACACTTGGAGTCCCAGCTACTAGGGAGGCTGAGGTGGGAGGATCAGCTTAGCCCAGGGAGGTTGGGGCTACAGTGAGCCATGACTGTACCACCTCACTCCAGCCAGGGCAACAGAGTGAGACCCTGTCTCACCAAAAACATATATAAAGAGATAATAAATATGTGTTTACACACACATTCTGATTTAAGTCCTTTGTTGGATATATTATTTGATAATATTTTCTCCCAGTCTATAGTTTGTCTTTTCGTTCTCTTTTTTTTTTAACCCAATCTGTGACAAGCACATCTTTTCATTCTCTTTACAGTGTCTTTTGCAGAGCAAAATTTTTAATTTTGATGAAGTCCAAATTATACATTTTTTTTCATGTATGCATGTGTTTCTGTGTCACATCTAAGAACTCTTTGCCTAACCCCTGGTCACAAGGATTTTTTTTCCATTTTCTTCTCAATGCTTTAATAGTTTTATAGTTTACATTTATATAGCTTTGATCAAGTTTTTCTTTTTTGAGACAGAGTCTCATTTGTTGCCCAGGCTGGTGTGCAGTGGTGCAGTTGTAGCTCGTTGAAGCCTCAAACCTCCTGGCCTCAAGCAGTCCTGCAGCAGCCTCCCAAAGTGCTGGGATTACAGGTGTGAGCCCCTAGCTTTTGATCAATTTTGAATGAATTTTTGTATATGGTGTGAGGTTTACATTGAAGTTCTCTTTCTTTTGCACTTTTGATAAACATAGATTAGCCATACTTGTGTGGATCTGTTTCTGGATTCTCTTTTCTGATCCATGGGTCTGTGTCTGTCCTTTCAGCAACACGACACTGTCTTGCTTATAGTAGCTTTGTAGTAAGTCATAAAAATGGGTGAAGTGGTTCCTCCAACTTTAGTTTTCTTTTTCAACATTGTTTTAGCTCTTCCAGTTTCTTGGCTCCTCTATACAAATTTTAGAATCAGTTAATCAATATCTACAAAAAGTTGTGCTGGGATTTTGATTGGAATTGCATTACATTTGTAAATCAGTTTGAGGAGAGTTAACATCTTTGCTATGTTGTCTTCCAATCTATGTATATAGTATATCTCTCCATTTACTTACATATTTTTTTTTAATCAGTGTTTTGAAGTTTTCAGGACCCCCTATTTACATTTTGCCTGGAGAGCAAACTAATAGACTTCTGCCAAGCCACTGTGGGGACACCTAGGGATCTGATTGCTTCTTAAGGAACTTGCACCGAGTCCTCTCTGCTCCAGCCTTCCTTTTTACTGCCAGCTCCAGAGATACTAGGTTTGCCATTCCCAAGTCTTTTGAGGGTTTTACAGAGAAAATCTGGTTGGTTCTCAGCTTCTCCATTGTGTGGTTGGTATTTGGCTTTCTCAACTGTACCAAGCCTGTTACAAGTAAATAGGAATACAGTAGATTTCACCTTGATTATATTCTTTCTTTACTTAAACTTCTCAAATATCCTTACTTTATATCTCTGATCATTCTAATATCTTATGCCTTGGTGCATCTGATTTCACTAGTAGTGCTTCTGTCTTTAGGTGTTTTGTGATTTTTACCATGATCTCATGTTCAATGGAACTTTCTTGATGGGAATTCTTTGAGGCCTAGGTTGAAAGTGAGTATCTCCAGAGGTATTGTGTCTCTGCCCACTGCTCTGGGAGCACCACCAATCCGGGATTATTTTAGAATAAATTCTCAGCTTCAGTGTAAAATAGTGCCTTTAGATTACGAATTCAGACCACAAGGCTTAATTTGTGATAATAAAATCTCAGCACCAAGGTCAAACTATGCAAATGTCCCTGCTGCCTCCCTCATCATAGCTTGGCTCATCCTTTCCATCCAGTTCTCCATGCTCTCTGAGGCTCTCTCCTGCCCAGAGTGTCCGTTGTCAGCTTGGCACCTGTGACTCTGCTAAAGGGGTCTGTGTCGACCCCCAGATGTATGTTTGGAAAACAGGAATTTCCTTTCTAAAAATCACTTCTCTGTAACTTTTCTGTGCCCAGCCTTAAGATAGGAACTAGAAGTACAGGTGTGAAAAAGGACACATGGCCCATCTTCATGGCACTCACATTTTGGGAGGAAAATAATTAATGAATGCTTTTTGAGTCCTTGTTTCATGCCAGTCGCCATCCCGGTGCATTCACATGCATGATGTCTGCAGTCCTAGTAATGACCTTGCACAGTAGGGTCTCTCGTGGATATTTTGTGGATGAGGAAACTTGGGCTACAGGGACAGGCAATGAGCTTGGCACTGGGGTTTGAGCTCCTCATGCTGGGGCTGAGTGACTGTCCTGCTCTCTCGTAGAGGCTGTGCATGCCCGTGTACTGCAAGTACCAGTTCCATAAGACTCCAGTTCACAAGACCAAGGGGGAGCCTCATGGAACCCACGTTTATTTCCGGGACATCAACGTCATCTTCCTTGGGGCGCTGCATCCCAGTGACCTAAGGGAGTACCTGGAGGGTCCCCCCATGATGGTGGAAGTTCACGACCGGGACCGCAAGTCAGAGGAGTTTTCTCAGAAGCCTGTGCTGTTTGGGGAGGACCCCCTGGATTCATACCTCAACTTCCGGGCCCTCATCTCTCCCAGAGAGACAGAGAACAACCCCTTTGAGTCCCAGAACAAGATGTGGTACCCTTATGGGATCGCCCAGGTCAGTTTTGCTGACCTCCTCCTTGGCCACAAGTATTTGAACCTGGCCGTCCCCATCCACAGCTGTGAGGTTCAGCCCACACACTGCAGCCAGGACAGCGGGAGAAGGAAGGTTGTGGGGCTTGGGGTCCCCAGAGATGGCCACCAGCATGGCCCAATGCCCATGGGCAACTACCTAGAGGCTGACTCCCAGCTCAAGTTGCGAGTGGACATCGCGGTGCCACTGAGGGCCGGGGCCGGAGCTGCCGATCCCGACCTCGGGGGCTCCCAGTTTGGCCGCATCATCTTCGTCTTTGACTTTAAGAAGGTCTCCCTGCTCCACAGCCTGCTGCAGGACATCACTATGATCAACGCTAAGGCCCTTGGCCTGGACTCCTACCCCCTCAGGACCCTGCAGCAGATCCTGTCGGCCTTCAAGATGCGTGTGCGGGTCCAGGAGCAGCAGTACCTGGATGTACTCACCGGCTTCCACCTGCTGGACGGGAAGACCCACCTTTTCATCCTGGAAGGCCTGGCCAACCAAGGCTTGAAGCAGCTGTGGGAGAACCACCAAAGCTGGTAGGTGGTTTGTTTTACATTTTACATAAAAATGATGGCATCTGGATACCGAGGGAGTGGAGAGGTCTTTCAGAGTCAAGCCTAGGTTCAGTGTCCTTGTCTGTGAGTCTCCTTTCGGGGATCATTGTGAGGTACTTACCAGGGTTTAGTCATTGGACTTGAAGGCTCGATTGCATTTGCTTGCAGGGAGGAATTCAGGCGTATCTAAGATGACTGAGGGGTCCAGGAGAGTGGCGCCTGTCTTCAGGGTTCTGAGCCAAGGGCTACTGTGGCTAACCAGGAGCAGAATATTCTGTATTAGATTTCAGCTTGCCCCAGGGAAGATCATTTTGAAGATGGAGGGGCTGCTTAGGTTGCAGGAAGTTACCCTTCTCTGAAAGCCTTCAGGGGACCTGGGGGCCACTCAGTGGGGACACTAGAGGTGAATAATTAAAGTGTCCAATTCTGGGCTGCAGCAGGTAGCCCTTTGCAGTTCCTCCATTCTTTAGTTTTGATGACATGACACCTCTCCCTTCCTTTCACAATTTGCAGGTATACTAGTTTGGGTAGATAGGATCTCCCTCCTTTAGTCCGGAGGGCCCCCATCTGTCTTCAGAATTCAGATGCCCCAGGACCCACTTGTCTGCAGTAGGGAGTCCAGGAGTTGAGGCTGTCTGCCCAGAAGGGGATTGCACTTCTCTGGACCTGCCTTCCTGTGCTGATGGGCCCAGAGGCACCGGGAGAAGCTGGCCTTGTATCTATTATAAGCCCAGGAGAACTGAAAACATATTTCCACGCAAGAGCTTTTACACACATGTTCATATCAGTGTTATGTATAATAGTCAAAAAGTGAAAACAGGCCAGGTGCAGTGGCTCACGCCTGTAATCCCAGCACTTTGGGAGGCTAAGGCAATCCTGGAATCACTTGAGCCCAGGAGTTCAAGACCAGCCTGGGCAACATAGTGAGACCTTGTTACTACAAAAAATACAAAAATTAGCCAAGCATGGTAGCTCCTGCCTGTAATCCCAGCTACTTGGGTGGCCAAGGTGGGAGAACCCAGGAGGCAGAGGTTGCAGTGAGCCAAGATCATGCCACTGAATTCCAGCCTGGGTGACAGAGCCAGACCCTGTCTCAAAAAAAAAAAAAAAAAAAAAAAAAAAAGTGGAAATAACCCAGATGTTTATCAACTGATAAACAAAAGATAATAAGTCCATAGAATAATTGAGCCATAAAAGAAAATGAAAGCCAGGCATGGTGGCTCACACCTGTTATCCCAGCACTTTGGGAGGCTGAGGCGGGGGGATTGTCTGAGGTCAGGAGTTCAAGACCAGCCTGGCCAACATGGTGAAACCCCGTCTCTACTGAAAATAGAAAAACTTAGCCGAGCATGATGGCACGTACCTGTAATCCCAGGTACTCGGGAGACTGAGGCAGGAGAATTGCTTGAACCCTGGAGGCAGATGTTGCAGTGAGCCAAGATCACGCCACTGCACTCCAGCTTGGGCAAGAAGAGCGAAACTCCGTCTCAAGAAAAAAAAAAAAAAAAAGAAAGAAAGAAATGAAATACTGATACACATATCTCAACCTTGAAACATTCTGCTAAGTCAAAGAAGCCAGACACAAAAAGGCACATATTGTATGACTCTGTGTTTGTGAAATGTCCTGAACCGGCAAATCCATAGAGATAGGTAGGCTGGTGGTTGCCAGGGATAACCACTCAGGGGAGGGCAAGAGAGAAGCGGGGAGCCACTGCCAGTGGGCACAGGGTTGCCATTAAGGGTGTGGAGGATGTTCTAGAACTAGATAGTGTTTATGGCTGCACAACATTGTGAATGTAGTCAAAATCACTCATTCATGCGCTTTAAAAGGTTGAGTTTTGTTCAAGACCAGCTTTGCCAACATGGTGAAACCCCATTTGTACTAAATATACAAAAATCAGCCAAGCGTGGTGGCAGGTGCCTGTAATCCCAGCTACTTGGGAGGCTGAGGCAGGAGAATCACTTGAACCCGGGAGGTGGAAGTTGCAGTGAGCCAAGATCACGCCACTGCACTCCAGCCTGGGCAGCACAGCAAGATTCCGTCTCAAAAACAAAAAAAAAAAAATGAGTTTTGTTGTGTGTAGCAGAGAATGTGGCCTGGCCCAGGAACAGTCTGGGCTCTGCCCTTGGCTCCTGGGAGGCAATCTGAGTCACACCTAATAGGAGTGTCTTTGTTCAGGGAGGGGACTGGCCACACCTGACAGTCACAGGATGGAGGCTGACCTTCCAGAAAGACCAACCGGGTGCTTCGGGATGGGGGCTTTGGGTCATGCAGAATCAGGAGACTGAGTTTAGCCATGTAGGCGGTCAGCCCGCCTGCTATACCTGTGCAGTGGAGCCCCCTGGAAACTCTGGCCACCAGGGCTGGGGCGAGCTGCCTGGCTGCAGTGTGCTTGCACGCCGCCACTCACCAGTGCTAAGAGGGTAGCACATCCGGCCCCACAAGGAGAGGACAGTGGAAGCTTTGTGTCTGGAGCCGTCGTGGACTCTGCTCCATGTGTTTGTTCCCCTGGCAGATTTTAATCTGTATTCTTTCCCTGTAATCCAACTAACTGTGAGTGTAGAACTGACTTTCAGTAAGTTCTGTGAGCCCTTCTAGCGTGTTATCAAACCAGAGGGCAGTCTCAGAAACCTCCTGAACTTGCAGTCGGCGTCAGAAGTAAGGGTGGTCTTGGGGACTGTGCCCTCAAACTTTGTGGTTTGGCTAATGCTGGGCAGATAGTATATGAATTACATCTCGAAAGCATTTTCCAGTGGCAGAAATAACATGAAGCATGCTCATTGAACCCCGTTGAATTAGGCTAGAAATAAAACATAGATCATTAACCAGAAAAAAGTTCATATGGAAGGAAATTAATAACCATACTTCCAAATAACTTGTGGGTCAAAAAGAAATCCTAATGGAAATTAGACATTTTTGAACTGAACAATAATGAAAATAATATATTAACTAAAGTTGCAGGGTGGGCCGGGTGCAGTGGCTCACTAGATAGTGTTTATGGCTGCACAACATTGTGAATGTAGTCAAAATCACTCACAATCCCAGCACTTTGGGAGGCCAAGGTGGGCAGATCGCCTGAGGTTGGGAGTTTGAGACCAGCCTGGTCAACATGGTGAAACCCCATCTCTACTAAAAATACAAAAATTAGCTGGGCGTGGTGGCACACACATGTAATCCCAGCTACTCGGGAGGCTGAGGCAGGAGAATCTCCTGAACCCAGGAGGCAGAGATTGCAGTGAGCCAAGGTCATGCCACTGCACTCCAATCTGGACAACAGAGTGAGACTCTGTCTCAAAATAAATAAATAAATAAATAAAAATTTGCAGAGTGATATTGAAGCATTAGTCAGAAGAAAATGTATAGCCTTAAAATGCTTATTTGGAAATGAAAAATGTCTGAAAATTATTGAGACATAATTATAGTTGTTGCAGACATTGATATGTGTTTCAAATTATGCCAATATATTAAAAAATTTATAAGAAATTTAAAAAATAATACCAAAAATATATTCAGATAAGATTATTTAATGTGGTATTGAATATAAAAATTAGTATAAAAATATCAAATTTTGAATACCATCTACATACGAAAACTAATTTTTAAAAATTGGAACACATTTAAAGTAAAATGTATAAAATTCATGGGACTAAATTTGACAAAAAGATGTGAAAGACATCCATCATGAATATTATAGAACTTCAGGAAAAATTAAGGAAGACATAAATAAGTGGAGAGAGATACCATGTTCATGAATTTGAAGACTCAATATTCTAAAGGCTCAGTTATCTTCAGATTTGAACTGTAGATTCAGTGCACTTCCAGTTTTAAAAATCCCAACAGTTTTTAAAGTATGGACATTGATTTTAAAATTTTAAACTTTTGGCCGGGCGCGGTGGCTCAAGCCTGTAATCCCAGCACTTTGGGAGGCCGAGACGGGCGGATCACGAGGTCAGCAGATGGAGACCATCCTGGCTAACCCGGTGAAACCCCGTCTCTACTAAAAAATACAAAAAACTAGCCGGGCGAGGTGGCGGGCGCCTGTAGTCCCAGCTACTCGGGAGGCTGAGGCAGGAGAATGGCGTAAACCCGGGAGGCAGAACTTCCAGTGAACTGATATCCGGCCACTGCACTCCAGCCTGGGCGACATAGCGAGACTCCGTCTCAAAAAATAAAAAAATAAATAAAATAAAATAAAATAAAATAAAATTTTAAACTTTTGCATGTTAAGTTTCATACTTTTTTTTTTAATCTAAGTCCATACTTTAAAAGCTGTTGGAATTTTAAACCCTTTACAGCAACATGCAAAGGTCTTTTTTTAAAAAAAGATACCCTTGAATAAGAACAAGATAGAAGAACTTGCTGTACTAGATATCAAGACTCATGATAAAACTATAGTCATTAAGATAGTATGGTGTTGGTTCAGAGATAGACAAGCAGACCTATGGAATATAATAGAGAATCCAGAAACAGACCTACACATAAGTGTTCATTTGCCGTATGACATATGTGATATTGCAAAATTGGTAGGGAATAAATATACTAAAAAACACTGAATGTTCTACTTCAAAAAGATGAATCTTATACAATGGGATGCTATTTCATACTCATTAGGATAGATAGAATCCAAAAGTCCAGTAATGACAAGCATTGGCAAGGATATGGAGGAATCAGAAGTGTCCTTCTCTGCTGGGAGGAATGTAAGTGCAGCCACTTTGGAAAACACTCTGGCAGTTCCTCAAGTGATTAAACACAGAGTTCCCATATGACCCAGGAATATCACTCCTAGATCTGTGCCCAAGAAAATGAAAACATGTATATCCACACTAATGTGTGGATTATTGCTAATTAGTGTACTAAACTTGTACACTCATGTTTATAACAGCATTATTCATAATAGCCAAAAGATGGAAACAGCCCAAATGTCCATGAAGTGGTAAAGGGGTAAACAAATGATGGGATATGCATACACTGGAATTCTATTTGGACATAAAAAGTAATGAAACACTGACACATGCTACACTATGGATGAACCTTGAAAACATGCTGAGGAGAAGCGGCTGGCCACAAGATGTTGCATATGACATGATTCAATTTATGTGCAATGTCCAGAAGAGACCAATCTATCAGAAAGTAGATTAGTATAGGGGTCCCCAACCCCTGGGCCATGGACCTGTACCAGTCTCTGGCCTGTTAGGAACTGGGCTGCACAGCAGGAGGTCAGCAAGCTCTGCCTGAGCTTTGCCTCCTGACAGATTGGCAGCAGCATTAGATTCTCATAGGAGCGGGAACCTTTTTGTGAACTGTGCATGCGAGGGACCTAGGTTGCGCATTCTTTATGAGAATCTAATGCCTGATCATCTGAGGTGGAACAGTTTCATCCCGAAACCATCCCCCCAACCCCATCCATGGAAAAATTGTCTTCCACGAAACCACTCCGTGGTGTCAAATAGGTTGGGGACCACTGGATTGGTAGATACTTAGTGGATCAGGGGTGGGGGTATTCAGGGGGTTGGGAGTATACAGAGTGATAGCTAAGGGGTGTGGGGTTTCTTTTTGAGGTGATGAGATGTTCTGAAATTGATGATGGTGGTAGTGGTTGCACTAAATAGATGAAAAACTATTGACTTATACTTTACAAATGGGTAAATTGTCTGCCATGTAAATTATATCTCAATTAAAAAGTAACTCTAGGCTAGGCACAGTGGCTCACGCCTGTAATCCCAGCACTTTGGGAGGCCAAAGTGGGCAATTACCCAAGGTCAGGAGTTCGAGACCAGCCTGGCCAACATGGTGAAAACCTGTCTCTACTAAAAATACAAAAATTAGCCAGGCTTGCTGACACATGCCTGTAATCCCAGCTACTCGGGAGGCTGAGGCAGGAGAATTGCTTGAGCCCAGGAGACAGAGATTGTAGTGAGCCAAGATCGTGCCACTGCACTCCAGCCTGGCCAACAGAGAGAGACTCTGTCTCAAAAAAAATAAATAAGTAACTCTAGTGGACAAAAAAAGTTCAGTAGGGAAAGGATAAACTTTTCAATAAATGGTGTTGGGATAATTGTGTTCCATAGGAAAAAAGGAAAGACATCCTTAATCCCTGGCAACCACTGCTATATCTGGAAATAGAACTGATTTTTGTATGTTGATTTTATATCCTAAAGCCTTGCTGAAACTCACTGGTTCCATGAGTTTTTGTTTTGTTTTTTTGGGAGATTCCTTGGGATTTTCTATACTGATCATCATGTCATCTGCAAATAGGGATAATTACATTTCTTTCTTTCAGTCTGTATACCTTCATCTCCTTGTTGTACTGGCCTGGATGTGCAGTATTGTTTTATGTAAGAATGGTGAAGGTGACTCACTCCTATAATCCCAGCCCTTTGGGAGGCCTAGATGGGCGGATCACGAGGTCAAGAGATTGAGACCATCTTGGCTAACGCGGTGAAACCCCATCTCTACTAAAAACACAAAAATTAGCTGGGCATGGTGGCGGGCGCCTGTAGTCCCAGCTACTCGGGAGGCTGAAGCAGGAGAATGGCGTGAACCCGGGAGGCGGAGCTTGCAGTGAGCCGAGATCGCGCCACTGCACTCCAGCCTGGGCAACAGAGCGAGACTCCATCTCAAAAAAAAAAAAAAAAAAATGGTGAAAGCACACACACTTGCCTTGTTTCTGGTCTCTGCGGCAGAAGGCATCAGTGTTTCCCCACTACCTATGATGTTAGGTGTAGGGTTTTTGTAGATGTCCTTATGGGTCTGAGGAAGTTCCATTCTATTCCTAATTTGCTGGCTCACACAATTCATAAAAATCACCTCTAGTCTAGGTAGACCAAGCCCCTGTTTTTAAACTTTTAACTTTGTTGGGTTTTTTTTGAGCTTTTTCTTTCTTTCTTTCTTTTTATTGAGACAGGGTTTATTGCTGTTACCCAGGCTGGAGTGGAGTGGTGCGGTCACGATTCACTGCAGCCTTGACCCCCCCGCCTCAAGCGATCCTCCTACCTCAGCATCTCAAGTAGCTGGGACCACAAGCATGTACCACCATGCCCAGCTAATATTTTTTCTTTTGTTTGAGACAGAGTCTCGTTCTGTTGCCCAGGCTGGAGTGCAATGGTGCGATCTTGGCTCACTGCAACCTCTGCCTCCTGCGTTCAAGCAACTCTCCTGCCTCGGTCTCCCTAGTAGCTGAGATTACAGGCACCCGCCATCATGCCCGGCTAATTTTTTGTATTTTTAGTAGAGATGGGGTTTTGCCATGTTGGGAAGGCTGGTCTCGAACTCCTGACCTCAGGTGATCCACCCGCCTTAGCCTCCCAAAGTGCTGGGATTACAGGTGTGAGCCACTGCACCTGGCCTAAACTTTTAACTTTGAAATTGCAAAAATAGTGGAGAGGTTGCATGTACTCATTACTCAAGGTCCCCCAATTCCCCCAATGGTGACATCTTATATAATGACTACTGATTGACACAGTATAACTAAGTAGACTACAATGATCTGATCTCAGATTTCACCAGAATTTTTTTTTTTTTTGAGACAGAATCTCGCTCTGTCGCCCAGGCTGGAGTGCGGTGGCGTGATCTCGGCTCACCGCAAGCTCCGCCTCCTGGGTTCACGCCATTCTCCTGCCTCAGCCTCCTGAGTAGCTGAGACTACAGGTGCCTGCCACCGCGCCCAGCTAATTTTTTGTATTTTTAGTAGAGATGGGTTTCACAGTGGTCTTGATCTCCTGACCTCATGATCCACCTGCCTGAGCCTCCCACAGTGCTGGGATTACAGGTGTTAGCCACTGTGCCTGGGCTTTTTTTTTTTTTTTTTGAGACAGGGTCTGTCTCTGTCACCCAGGCTGAGTGGTACAAGGGCTCACTGCAACCTCTACCTCCAGGGGTCAAGCCATTCTCCCATCTCAGCCTCCCAGGTAGCTGGGACTACGGGTGTATACCACCATGCTCAGATTATTTTTGTATTTTTTGTAGAGATGGGGTTTCACCGGGTTGCCCAGGCTGGCCTCCAACTCCTGGGCTCAAGCAACCTGCCCACCTTGACCTCCCAAAGTGAAAAATCTATTTTTGAAAAGCAAAATTACAAAGCTTATAGATGAAAATATAGAAGAACATATTCATGACCCCAGAATGGAGAAAGAGTTCTTGAACCAGACAAGGACAAAGAAGAAAAGAATCATACATTTGGCAACGTTAAAAGTAACTTCTGCTCATCAAAAGACACTGTCAAAGTCAAAATACAGAGATGAATCTCTAAATTTAAAAATTTTATTTGGGAAGCAAGAATTACAATTTGAGGTACACACACAGGCTGAGCAGTCTTCAGTATGTCTGAAAAACAGAGAAGGTTGGAGGTTTTATAAAAAGGAGGGGCATTATAAAAATGTTAGGTATTGTTTTGAGAATTCACTTTGTTTTGTGTTTGACAGGAAACAAAGTTTTGGGGCGCTGGCAACCTCCGACTGGCAAGTGCCAGTGAGTAAAAGTAGTCTTGGAGTTGCAGCACATGGTATCAGTAGCTATCAGATAAGACTGGCTTCAGGTTGGAGCAGGCGGCCTCAGCAGCCAGGCTGCAGAGAATGACATTCCTGGAGCAGTGCTACGTGCCCTGGGTGCTTTCTCCCCGCCTCTCGACTCTGTTTTAGTTGGGTGTGATGAGAATGACCCAATGTATGTGATCAACTTTCAGGACACCGTAAATATGGTGAAAAGACAAGCTACAAACAAAATTATTTGCAGTGTCTGGAACTGACCAATAATTAGTATCCTAAATATATTTTTTAAAGTCCTGTGAATCAGTAAGAAAACATCCCAGTGGAAAGTATGGGCAAAATACCCAAACAAATACTTCACAAAAGAGGACCTACCTCTGACCAGGAACACAGATTCCTGAAGGGGAGATGAAAGCATTGTAGACTTCACCAGGTTCAAAAAGGCGGTGGATTGGCATAGGCCAGTGCAGGGCAATGAGAGTAGGCTGTGCATAGAAACCCTGCCAGGCTGGTGTTGCCATAGTGCAGAGTGCGAGTGCCAGGGCAGGGCTTGGAGGGGTGGTGAGGGGCTGAGTGGGGGCAGGAAGGGGGTGGGAGGCACAGGCCATGAGCCAGATCAGGTCAATTTCAGCATTTCACTGCCAGTTCTCTGTCAAGGCCCCACGTTTTGAAAGATGTTGTGTCTACCAGGAGGCATTCATCATCATCATATTCTTTTTGTTTTTTCTATTCTTTTAGTTAATTTTTTATACTTTTAAATTGCTCTATTTTTATCTTAGTATAGTCTTTATTACCAACCTTGTCTTTTGTTGTTGTTTTGAAATGGGATCTCACTCTGTTGCCCAGGCTGGAGTGCACTGGTGCCATCAGGGCTCGCTGCAGCCTCTACCCCCCTGGGCTTTTTTTTTTTTTTTCGTTTTGGTTTGTTTTTATTTTGAGACCGAGTTTCACTCTTGTTACCCAGGCTGGAGTGCAATGTCATGATTTTGGCTCACTGCAACCTCTGCCTCCCGGGTTCAAGCGATTCTGCCGCTTCAGCCTCCCAAGTAGCTGGGATTACAGGCATGCACCACCATGCCAGGCTAATTTCGCATTTTTTACTAGAGATGGGGTTTCTCCATGTTGGTCAGGCTGGTCTCGAACTCCCGACCTCAGGTGATCTGCCCACCTCAGTCTCCCAAAGTGCTGGGATTACAGGCGCGAGTCACCACACCCGGCCCCTGGGCTTGTTTTTAAACAACATAAAAGCTGTACCTGACAGTGCACCCTCACCATGGTGTCCCAGGAAGCCGCCATGCAAGTTAGCTCTGGCCCTTGGCCTTCTGTCTCTTGCAGGATTCCCAGGTCAGAACACGGGAAATACAAGGTGCTGTACAACTCTCAGCTGCTGTTCCGCAGCCGGCTCTATGGGGACCTGGAGGCCATCCTGTACCATGTGCACCTCTTCCAGCCCACGGAGCTGCTGCTGCAGCAGGCCGTGCTTTTCCTGCGAGACACTGAGTGGAGGCGGGTCTTCCAGGCACTGACCAGGTGGGCAGTGGCAGCCCGCGTGGGGTCCTGCGCCCCAGCGGAAGGGGCGCTTCTTAGCATTCTGCGCCCAAACAGGCGAGCTGGGGTGTCCAACAACTACATAGTGGCCCCAACAGACGGTGGGGGGAGGAGGGTATCTGCCCAGATGCTGTGACTCTGTCGCGTCTGCAGTTCTTGGGGCGTGTCCTAGAATCACCTGAGGAGGGAGTGGCTGGTTAAACCCCATTTTCTAACCTGGGCAACAGAGTGAGACCTCATCTCCACAAAAATTTGTTAATAAAATTGGGAGGCCGAGGCGGGCGGATCACGAGGTCAGGAGATTGAGACCATCCTGGTGAACATGGTGAAACCCCATCTCTACTAAAAATACAAAAAAAAATTTAGCCGGGCGTGGCAGCGGGTACCTGTAGTCCCAGCTACTACTGAAGGAGGCTGAGGCAGGAGAATGGCCTGAACCCGGGGAGTGGAGCTCACTGTGAGTGGAGATCACGCCACTGCACTCCTGCCTGGGCGACAGAGCAAGACTCCGTCTCAAAAAAAAAAAAAAAAAAGTTGTTAATAATTAGCCAGGTGTGGGCTGGGCACAGTGGCTCACACCTGTAATCCCAGCACTTTGGGAGGCTGAGGTGAGAGGATGGCTTGAGCCCAGGAATTTGAGACAAGCCTAGGCAACATAGTGAGACCCCATCTCTACTAAAAATACAAAAATTAGCCAGGTGTAGTGGTGCACACCTGTAATCCCAGCTACTTGGGAGACAGAGGCAGGAGAATCTCTTGAACCTGGAAGGCAGAGGTTGCAGTGAGCTGAGTTCGAGCCATTGTACCCCAGTCTGGGCGACAGAATGAGACTTCCATCTCAGAAACAAACAAACAAAAACAGGCCGGATTCAGTGGCTCACACCTGTAATCCCAGCACTTTGAGAGGCCAAGGTGGGCGGATCACCTGAGGTCGGAATTCGAGACCAGCCTGACCAACATGGAGAAACCCTATCTCTACTAAAAATACAAAATTTGCCGGGTGTGGTAGCGCATGCCTGTAATCCCAGCTACTCGGGAGGCTGAGGCAGGGGAACTGCTTGAACCTGGGAGGTGGAGGTTGCAGTGAGCTGAGATCACACCACTGCACTCCAGCCTGGGAAACCAGGGTCTCACCATTCCCTCACTGAGCAGCTGCTAGCCCACAATGGCTCTAGGGGAGCTGTGAGCACACCAGTCCCCACTCTCAGGAGGCCACAGTTCAGAAGGAGAGAGGACATAAAGAACACAGGCAGTGGGGTGCCCTGGGACCCAGCAGGGGCATGGAGGAGGGGGCTGCTTCTTTCCCCAGAGCAGGAGAGGCTGCTGTTGAGGAAGGGCCAGGGGATGTTCAGCAGGTGGACAGTTCACTTGCTGCTGGGTGTGGGGCAGGAGGTACAAACCCTGTCTTTATATTTTTAGAGCCAGCAACAGGTCTGGCCCTAGCTAGTGCTCGCTGGATATATTAATGAAGGAGGGGAGGAGGCTGGAGAGATAGGAAGGATAAAGATCTTGGTTGGAACCAAGAGGCTTTTCTTTGATTCCGTGGCCCTCATCTTTGGCATGTGGGGTGGTGCCACAGCATTTGGGAGGAGGCCAGACCCGGTCCTGCCTGGTAGGTGACAGGAAGTAGCTGAGGGTTCTATGAAGGAAAGAGAACACTTTTTAGGAAGTGCTTACTGCATCCAAGGTAGCTGCATCCATATAGCTTTATTTCTATCTGAGGGTGAGGAAACCATATTCAGAAAGGCTAAGGCTGGGCCAGGGTCACTGCGACAGTGAGAGTGAGGGCAGGCATCTACCGCAGTGGACTTCGGAGGCAGCTGAGACAGTCAGCAGCCAACAGCTATGACCGAGCATGGGTTCTGGACCCAATGCCCACTGCACACCAGGCCATGGCAGAAGGCACCTAGGAGGAGGCTTCAGGGCTGGGGAGCTCCTTGAGCTTTGCTGAGGACTCTCTCTCCAGCCTCCTCCTCCTCCTCTATTAGCCAGCCCCCTGAGGCTCCTTGCATGATGTCCTCCTGGTGCGGAAGGCTCTGTGCTCTACATCCCTGATGGGCAGCTGGTAGGGCTGTGTCCGATGGGGTATGGGAGGAGGGGAAGCATGACTAAGGACACAGGAACAGAGCAGCACTCAGAGCAAACCATGGGCAGCCTTTGGCTTCTGGGGGCTGGGGAGAAGATGGAGAAGGAGCCAGGAGCCCAGGCTCAGCAGACTGGAATGGGAGCTCTTTCGTTACAAGCTCTAGGGCCTGGGACCAGCTAAGCAACCTCTGAGTGCTCATTTCCTGCTGTAGGATGGGAGTGATTACACCTGTCTTGCAAGGTAGGCGAGGTTCAGTGGGGCAGTGGTTCTTTGTTCCAGGATCCACGACATCTGCTATAACAGCACCACCCTCTGGGACGTGATGGTGAGGAACCTGCTGCCCTCCTCTGCTATGATCAAAGACTTGAGCCAAGAGTTTGGGATGCCCCTTTCGCAAGAAGAACTCACAGATGAGAAACTGTTCGCCCTACCACCTCAGCCCACCCCCAATCTTGAGGACTACCACGGTCGGGACTCCAGCCTCACCTTAGAGATCCACGCCCACCAGGAGAAGTACCTGCAGTGGCGGAGTGCCATGCTACTGAAGAACAAAGACAAAAAGCACAGTTTCATCCAGGTGGGCCGCCTTCCTCTCCAACTTGGAGCTCCCAGGCCTCACCTGGGCAGTCCAGGTGCCTGCTAAGAGGCATAGGGCATATTCCTGAGTGGGACATTTGCCTCTGGTCTGTGCCTGCGCTCCTGGCCTGGGTTACCCCACTGGATGGGCAAGAAGTGCAGGAGGTGGGGCTGAGCCATGTCAGAAACCTTCACTCCCAGTCCTAGATAACCTTGTCCTTCCTGAAAGGTGAGAAGGAATGCTATTAGGTGTATTACCTTTACCATGGCCCCCAGAGTTCATTATAGAGAAAGAACTGTGGTGTGTGTGTGTGTGTGTGTGTGTGTGTAAGTAACATGTTGCTTAGGTTGCTCAGGGCATAAGTGTCGTAAGATGTCCAAGCAACATGGGACATAAACTGATCTGCATGACAGAGGGAGAGAATGGGAGACTGAGAAGCTGGTGAGAGGGTAGAAGGCTGGTGCTATGCGGCCTGAATGGGCAAGGAGAACCTCGCTCACCCCATGCCAACCAAAAAGACATGAAAACACAAATATCTATGGTATGACTTGGAGTTGTCTGCCTGTGGTCTCTGTGAAGGCCCTACCATCCCCCGCAATTCTCTAGTTTAAAAACAAGTGTCTCCTAGAAGCTTGTAAGTTTTATATGTGTGCATTCTTTATGAAAACCAAAGAACAGACTTCTTCTATTTTGTTTGAATTGGGGTCTCACTACGTTGCTCAGGCTAGAGTACTATGACTTGATCACGGGTCACTGCAGCCTCCAACTCCTGGGCTCAAGCAGTCCTCCCACCTCGGCCTCCTGAGTAGGCAGGCATGTGCCACCACACCTGGTTAATTTTTTTTTTTTTTTTTTACCTTTTTAAGAGATTGGGTCTTGCTATGTTGCCCAGGCTGGTCTCCAGCTCCTAGGCTCAAGGGATTCTCCTGCCTCGGCCTCCCAAAGTGTTGGGATTACAGGTGTGAGTCACTGTGCCTGGCTGTTTTTTCCATTAGTGTTCAGGTTTTTAGCTTTTTCAAAAGAACCAGTTCTTGGATTTATCAATTCTGCTTTTTCTGTTTTTCTAATTCATTAACTTGGGCTTTTATTTTTATGATACTTTAAAACATACACCTTTCTCCTTTTTTCTATCTTCTCGAGTTGGCTATTTCATTCATTTTTATTTCTCTTGTTTAATAAATATATATATATCATAGAACTGTGGGAGGCCAAGGTGCGCAGGTTGCTTAAGCTCAGGAGTTTGAGACCAGCCTGGGCAACATGGCAAAACCGTCTCTACAAAAAATTAGCTGGGCATGGTGGCATGTACCTGTAGTCCTAGCTACTCAGGAGGCTGAGGCTTGAGCCTGGGAAGCACAGGTTGCAGTGAGCCGAGATCACGCCATTACATTCCAGCCTGGATGGCAGAGCGAGACCCTGTCTCAATGCGGGGCACAGTGCCTCATGCCTGTAATCCCAGCATTTTGGGAGGTTGAGGCAGTCAGATCCCTTGAGGCCAGGAGTTCAAGACCAGCCTGGCCAACATGGCAAAACCCCTGTCTCTACTAAAAATACAAAAATTAGCTGGATGTGGTGGTGTACACCTGTAATCTCAGCTACTTGGAAGGCTGAAGCAGGAGAATCACTTGAACCTGGGAGGTAAGGTTGCAGTGAGCTGAGATCACACCACTGCATTCCAGCACTCAGAGCGACAGAATGAGACCCTGTCTCAAACAAACAAACAAAAAAAGTCAAACAACGTTGAGAGTATTTGCAGTCTTCCTTATCCTACCTCTCAGTGCCCTTAAGATATGTGCAAGAATATATATTCATTTCATAGGTTAATATAATTTTGTTAATGCCACATAATATGGTAACATTTTAAATTTATATTTATTTTTGAGATGGTCTTGCTTTGTTGCCCAGGCTGGAGTGTAGTGGCATGATCTCAGCTCACTTCAGTACCTGCCTCCCAGGCTCAAGCGATTCTCCTGCCTCAGCCTCCTGAGTAGCTGGGATTACAGGCACACACCACCATGCCTGGCTAATTTTTGTATTTTTAGTAGAGATGGGGTTTCGCCATGTTGCCCAGGTTGGTCTCGAACTCCTGACCTCAAGTGATCCACCCACCTCGGCCTCCCAAAGAGCTGGGATTACAGGTGTGAGCTACCACGCCCGGCCACAAAGAAGGGTTTTTAAAGATTTTGCAGGGCCAGGCACAGTAGCTCACACCTGTAATCCCAGCACTTTGGGAGGCTGAGGCGGGCGGATCACAAGGTCAGGAGATCGAGACCATCCTGGCGAACACGGTGAAACCCTATCTCTACTAAAAATACAAAAAAATTAGCCGGGTGTGGTGGCAGGCGCCTGTAGTCCCAGCTTCTAGGGAGTCTGAGGCAGGAGAATGGCATGAACTCGGGAGGCAGCGGAGCTTGCAGTGAGCCGAGATCATGCCACTGCACTCCAGCCTGGGTGACAGAGCAAGACTCTGTCTCAAAAAAAATGCAATATTATAGACAATTTTATAATATAGTAGTATACAATTTATTTACTAGCCCCCATCTCTTGTAAATTTGCTGAAATCGCTTGTATTGTTCCAGCTTTTTAAAAAATCATGTTCCTATTATCTTAGATATGGCTACTCTAAAATGGCTTTAAATTTCCTATTCATACTATAATAATTGAAACCCACCCATAATTTAATTTTTTCACATTTTTACACCTTGATATATAATTTACATACCATAAAATTCACTCATTATAAGTATATAAAAATAGTTTTTAGTAAATTTATAGTTTTAACACCATCATCACAATCCAGTTTTAGAACATTTCCATCCCCACAAAAAGTATTCTCATGCTAGTTTACAGTCAATCTCTCCTCCATTCTTAGTCCCACATAACCACTGATCTGCTTTTTGTCTTGATAGATTTGCCTTGTCTGAATATTTCAGGTAATTGGAACCATATAGTTATGTAAATTTTTGTGTCTGGCTTCTTTTACTGAGCATAAAGTTTCTGAGGGTCATCCATGTTCCTGAATATATCAGCAGTATGTTCCTTTTTTATTGCTGAATATTATTGCATTGAATTGATGTACCATATTTATCCATTCACCACTTTTTGGAATTACTATTATTTCTTGCTTGGGGCTATTATAAATTTGCTCCTATGAACATTTGCATACAAATCATTATGTGAAAATATGTTTTCATTTCTCTTGGGTAGAACATAGGAGTGGAATTGCTGTCATACAGGTAGGTTTATATTTATGATTTTAAGAAATTACATTGTAAGAAAAGCAGTTTTTACAGTGTAGTTGCACAATCTTAACATCCCTACCAGCAATGCATGAGGGTTCTAGTTTCTCCACATTCATACAAACACTTCTTATCAGTCCTTTTGATTATAGCCATTCTAGTATGTATCTCATGATTTTAATTTGCATTTTATAATGACTGACGATGTTAGGTATCTTTTAGTGTGCTTATTAGGAATTAATAAAGCTTCTTTGATGTAATCTATATTTGTATCTTTTTGAATTAATCTCTTTTTTTCAAATTGAGACAGGGTCTCACTATGTTACCCAGACTGATCTTGAACCCTTTGGGCTCAGGCAATCCTTCCACCTTGGCTTCCTGAAGTGCTGGGATTACAATTATGAGCCACCGTGCCTGGCCCTCTGTTTGTATCATTTATCCATTTTAAAATCAAGTTGTCTTTTTATTGTTGAGTTGTTATATATTCTGGATACAAGTACTTAATGGGAAATATGATTTGCAAATATTTTCTCCATATTTGTGGCTTGTCTTTTTTTCTTAATGGTGTAAGAAAAAGCTTTTGAAGTATAAAAGCTCTTAATTTTGATAAATTCCAGTTTACGTATTTTCTTTTAGCAATCATGCTTTTGGTGTTATAGCTAAGGACTCTGCTTAAAGTTACAAAGATCATTTCATATCCTTTCTCTTACACTTACTCTTAACTCGCACATTTAGATCTCTGAACCATTTTTTTTGAGGTCCATGGTAAGGGTCTAAATTAATCTTTTTGCATATGGATATCCAGTTGTCCTCACATCATTTCTTGCAAAGACTAGCTATTCCCCCATTGAATTGACTTAGCACCTTTGTCAAGAATTGATCATAAATGTAAGAGTTTATATCTGAGTTCTAAACTATGTCCCATTAACTTATATGCCTCTCCATATACCAGCAACACATTGTCTTGATGACTTTAATTATAGTTAGTTAGTTGGATTTTTTAAGTCCTTTAACTTTGTTCTTTTTCAAAATTGCTTTGACTACTTTGGGTCCTTTGCATTTCCACATATATTTTAAGATCAGCTTGCCAATTTCTGTAAAAAATTCTATAGGAATTTCATTGGGATTTTATTTATTTATTTTGAGATGGAGTCTCGCTCTGTCGCCCAGGCTGGAGTGCAGTGGCATGATCTTGGCTCACTGCAAGCTCAGCCTCCCGGGTTCATGCCATTCTCCTGCCTCAGCCTCCCAAGTACCTGGGACTACATGCACCCGCCACCACACCTGGCTAATTTTTTTTTTTTTGGTAGAGACGGGGTTTCACCGTGTTAGCCAGGATGGTGTTGATCTCCTGACCTTGTGATCCGCCCGTCTCAGCCTCCCAAAGTGCTGGGATTACAGGTGTGAACCACCATGCCTGGTGGGGATTTTATTGAATCTATAGATTGATTTGGGAAAAACTGCCAACTTAACAATTTTGGGGTTGCCAATTTATGAACATGTAATGTCTCTGCTGTTATTTACGTCTTGTTTTCCTCAGCAATTTCTGTAGTTCTCAATGTGTAACTCTTGCACTTCTTTTGTGAAATTAATGGTGCTATGAATTTAATTACTTTTTGTATTGTTTCCATAATATATAAATAGAATTACTTTTTTGTACATTGATCTGGTGTCCTACAACCTTTTGAACTGGATCACATCATCTGTGAAGAAAGGTCATTTTCCTTTCCAATCTGGATACTCTTCCTTCCTTCCTTTCCA